TTCTCCAAATGGCACATGTGAAATTTCATGTCTGCGCCTTTTTCTCCGGTCTCGCGACGAAGAAAACGTGCTTAAGAGGATAAAAAAGCTTTTGCTTGGTCATGTAATGTAATAACGCGTTCCAAAATAGCACTAACAGGAAACAAAACTGCATGAGCCGGTATTCTTTTATCATAGTGCGTATTTACGATTTATTTCAACAGATCTGTCTTATGGCAAATTTTCCAATAATAGGTGTTACCTTTAACGACCAAAGTTATACCAAATTTCGTAGTGAAAATGGATCTCGATGCAGTCTTCCCATGTATTAGTACCATTAACTGAGGAAAAGTTTCACCATCTTCGTATATTTATAACTTTATAAAATCGATAAAAAGAAAATCAGAAAAATGTAACAAAATGAAAAAAAATGAAAAAAGAGGAGAAAAAAATCTGTCATTTGTGACAGGCTGGTATTCATGAAATAATCCTTCGAAACGGTAATTGCTCTAAAATGTGATCTATCGAAAAAACAGTTTCTTAAACTAACCTTGCTTAACGACCAGATGAGCAATTCATAAAGCTTAGAAAACCCTTGATTTATTAATCTAACCGCAGATCTCTTTTTGCATAATTTTTGGTAAATCAAGATGGAATTAAGAAATGTCCCTATGCGGCCCACTATCTATTTCAGTGTTGTTGGTTCACCTGTTTTGGTAAAGATTGAAGTCCGATTTTCAGCCTATGAACGTATAACAGTGCAATCAGTTACAAAAGCTGTAATAATGCCGGCGATCTTGAAAAATCACCAGGATGATAAATCATTGTAAACAACTCGCTTCGTTAACGAACAAATATGCCAGGCCATTTGCTTTTTTTCCCATCCGCTGCCACTATTTCGTGCCAATACCGTGGCAACCGTTGCGAAACTAATCGTCACTAATTATTATGACTCAATCCTCATCTTCGGACGTATATAGTATCCGACACTCATGTAACATTAGCCTGATCACCTTCGCCGACCTTCGTCATCATCATGAGCAACCTGATGTCGACATATCAAGCTATTGATGGCCAAAATGGCAAAGGTTTGATACCAACCTCTCTTCTTACCTATATTGATTGTGTACTCTGACACGGTGACGATGTTTTTCTCAGTTTAGAGAAAAGAGAATGGGTTGTTTATTATGAAACAGAGACGAAGTTTTCTTAGTTCAGTTACTATTCTATTCTAAGTTAAAAATTTGATGTTCATATTCTATTTGCTACCAAATGAGACATGTCTACTTAATCGTTCGAAAGTTGCTTTTACCCTTAAATTGTTGCGTGCGAAGTACGTGAATTATATATGTTTCATCATTGAGGTTTTGTCACGAAGATTCGACCAACATGACGTCAGAGCGGCTGATTGTGTCAGCTAGGTTAAGACTCGGTTACTTAAGAGGCATGAGAAGGTATTGTTATGAATTAACCACCTGGTGATAAAATGAGAGGACAGAAAAAGCTGTTTATAAAACCTCGGTATTTAGGTGTAATAAGTAAGTTCACTTTCAAAATGTTAATAAGAAGAAACCTGTATTATTCAGAATCTAATTAAAAACTCCAATGATTTCAATGTCGATATCCCAAAATCAAGGATAGTCAAAGGTTACATGGCAAGAAAATGAGGCGCATCGATGGCGACTACTCGCGATTTTCTGTGACACAACAAATTCAGTGTTCTGTCTCTCATTGGGAATAACTGTTGAACTTGTTAGATGCATTAAGTGTGATAATATCAAATTGAAATGTCATTCTTTCATTAAATTCAGAAAGCATGCAGTCCGATCATATTGGAAAATGATAAAGAAAAGTCATATGCATGCTTTTAGGGGAAAATAATACCCTACTTTTCTTTTAAATATTTCAGTCAAGAATAACATCTTGCGTATCTGTGTCATTTTAAATTTATTCATTAGCAGTGCTCGGGTCGACGCGCTTGAGTGACACAGATCATTTCTCTGTTTGCACCTTGAAGATTGCTTCACTAGTGACTCGGAGAACCATAATTCTTTGAGAAAACAGTTGCAGTTTGTTGGAAATATTTCTCTGACTCATTCTTTGTGGACTCTGCGATCTCACGTTCTGTTATGTTCATACATTTAATTATTCTTTCATGAAAGTCTCATCAGGAGATGATATATTGCTTATTTGATAATATTACAGCACAAGCAGTAATTGTTTACAGAAACGGCTTGAAATGACGCATAATAAATGAAGCAGCTGCGAACAAAAACAAAAACCACTAATTTTCTCAAATAGTGAATTTAAAACTGTGCAGCAAGAAGAAATGGATTCTTTCTGAGCAAATTTCTAGCAGTTAGAAAGACTAACTTTAATATCGTGCATGGTAAGTCGAAGAATTAATTTCTAGCGGCTGACGTTTCCCTCTTTCTTGACCGTTTATCTTCTTCGCTGGCCATTTATGTTTACCCTCAGGGGAGGTGCTTTTTTAGCTGCTAGTCGCCAAGTGAGAATCGAATAGGATAATCATGTTAGAAGAACGACTAAATATTGGATCGGAGTAATACCCATGTTATTTAGACATGATGGGAATTATGATGTAGCTCTGATAGCTGCAGCTTTTTTAACTTTTCAAGAGGTAGGTGGCAGTATTGAATCCTCAAGTCTTCTGCAGCGAGATTAATGACAGAGCACGCTAATAATGAGATTTAATAAGCCCTTGTAGTTGTGATCTCTGTAACTCTGCAACATTTTCGACCAAACAGATTCTTTCACTTTCCCACGGTCTATGGATAAACTTGATATTTAACTCTATATATGGCTTTCACAAGTTCAATCAAATTGACCGTAGTTGCCAACCCAAAAAGCCCTCTGCGATGGGGATGGGGACGAATTTCAAAGCAAACTCGCAACACTTTATACCGGCTCATTCGCTAAATTGAAGAGCTTGGTTTCATTAAGGCAAGTGGTCATCTCTACCCTATTCCTGTTTAATTAAGGCTGAAATCATGAAATTAAATGCTATGTATATCTTATCATTAGATACTGCTAGACTGAGGTCTGGGGGCACTAAACGAAGCAACGCATCTCTTAACAAAGTTGATCCTTGGTTCGACAACGATTCTATGGAACTCATAAGGTACAACCCGGGTGAATTTGATGGATCTCGTATCCAAACTCCTGAAATTGAAGTATATAAGCCGGCCATGAATACCCTGATATACTTCGCAAACGAAAATATTGCTGCCAAAGTAAATGTGAACGCATTGAATCAGGAAGGACTGGCCCCTATTCATCTTGCTGTTCGCATCAATGACGTTGGGACAGTAGCTTCTTTATTGCAAGGCGGTGCAGATATCAATCTTGCAGACAAAACTGGATTGACGCCTCTCATCACTGCAGCAAGGTATGCGCAAGTGGTTCATCGGCATTTCACTTAAATAACTCCACAAAGAGAAATTCCCGATCTAGGAAGAGGCAGAAAATTCTATCGCTTTCAGTTCTTCTGCTTCAATATAAATCCTAGCTTGTTTACACTGATAAACGAATTGTGGAAAATCAGCTAATACTTCGACAAAAACCCAATACTTCATTGCATTTCATGTTGAAAATTAAATTGTTTTACAAAAGGTTTTTTATGCATTCCCACTCGTTTTATATGTAAGAATTGTAATTACTTGGCTGATTTTCAAGTTTTAGCGACATAATGTTTCCTCAACTAGGAGTTTTCCCCTTGGCACCCTTGGCTTCGTGATTTCATAGCATGGCCTTATATCAACATTGCTAGTCATAAATGGCTTGAATTTAACAAAGAATTTTGTATCATTGCATCGTCTTCAGGTTTAACAGGCCAGAGGTGGTTAGGCTTCTTCTTGAAAGAGGAGCTGATCCTCTTATAGGAACTGAGTCTTCGGTTTCACCACTTCACGAAGCTGCCAGAAGGGGCTTTAGGGAGATTTGTAGTCATCTGTTGAATGATTCTAGAATAAAGGCTACTACTGTAAATTATGGAAGTTTTTCGCCTTTGCACATGGCCTGCGTAGGCGGAGATCGAGCCACATGTGAGCTGATCTTGAACCATGGCGCCGACATCACCTACACTTCGAGGATAACTAAGAATACGCCACTTCATTTTGCGGCTTGGAAGGGATACCAATACAATTGCGAACTTCTTATCAAAGCAGGTAATCGTTTACTCTCCTGAAGTGCATAAACCATTTGCTAGTTTGTGCGATTCGAGTACTCATTTGTGACTCGAGAATCACACAATACCATTTATGTATAGGGGGAGTTCCTCACAGACCTGGTTTTTCAGGTGTGTACCGATATAAGGTAGGTCATGGGGTAATAGATCTGAAATGTGTTACTGAGATCTTAGCGATTATAGAGGGCTGACAATTTGATCGCTCAATAGTTGGAAAGCTGTTTCCGAAACAAATTCTCTTCTGGTTCTCTTCTGGATCTATTTTGTGAAAAGTGTGTTCAGTAATCGATATTCCGAGAAACAAAAACCTAATTTGGCTAAATTTGAGAAAAAAACCCCATTCGCTCCGACGAAGGGCTAACGCTCGAAAGGTCAGTTTTTGTAATCGTCACGGTGGCCAATTTACCATTTCAACTTTGATGATATATCCAAAATAATTTTGTGTAGGTTGGGTTTTGTATCGTTTAAGAGGATTCGAAATGTACACAAATGCAATATATAGGGGAAACTTAGGATTATCGGAGTCCCTATGACATGCGCCACACACACACACACACACACACACACACACACACACACACCCAAAAAAGTCAGTATAACCCTATGAGAAATATCATGATATCACTTTCTTCAAGAAATACCTTGTCGGTTATCATTAACAAGTTTCTTGCTATACGAAACGCAAAGGATTACGTATTAAATAAACATTGATGTACAAAAAAAATTGTTAATTGTTTGTTTATTTTGGCAAAGCTTCCAGGACGCTGTCCTCTGTAAGCGACTATATTAATATAAGAAACAGGGATGGGGAAACAGCCTTCCATATTGCGTGCATGAGAGGAAAAGTGAATGCAGCTGAACTTTTTCTACGTCACGGGGCAGACCCTGATTCGTATAGTTGGTTGGACAACACGTCACCACTTCATCACGCAGCCAAATGCGGCTTTGTAGAGTTGGTGGAACTTCTCATCTTGTACGGAGCAGCCGTTGACTCAAGGGATAGCAATTTAAGCACACCATTGCACAGGTAGCTTTTTAAGCAATTTCGGAGATTTTTGAAAAGTGTTATATTACCAGTGCGCATTTATGATAACTTGGTGTGCTATCAGAAAGGTTTTTTTAGCTAAACATTTTCTTGTTTTCGATAAAAATTTAGCGCTGCTACATTTAATCACGTACGAATAGTCGACCTACTTGTGGAGAATGGAGCAGATCTAGAGGCCAAAGACCAGTTATCGATGACTCCTTTTCTGTTAGCTGTGAGCCATGGAGCATGCCACACCGTGAAAGCTTTATTGGACCGCGGAGCAGACATTACTACAGTGGACTCTTCCTTGAATAGCTGCCTTCATTTGGCAGTAATCTTCAATAGGGCAGAAATAGTGCAACAGTTATTAAAAAGAGACGGAGACAAACTGATAAAGTGTAAGGACAAGGACTTGAAGACGGTATTTCATTTGGCAGCTGTTCTGGAAGATCCAAAGGTACTTACATTGATATCGGACAGCGTCTCCCAACTAAACGGCAATGCTTGTCTCTCATAGGGATTATGAGAGTTGATGTATTTCCACTACGGCTAGTCCTGTATCCCAAAGAAACCTTGAAGCGGAGACGAGCGATTCCCCCATTTGGGGGAAAAGAAACGAACAAATTATACTTTGCCCTCCAGAAACTAACTGAATAAATTTACCATCTTTCTATTTGCCTTCTTAGATCCTGGAAATTCTCGTTCAAGAGGCCCAGAAAAAGGAGGAACTTTTTAGCCTACGGGATGCAGATGAACGAATGCCTATTCACAATGCCGCTGCAAATGGATCCTTAAATTGCTTGCGCGTTCTCGCCGTTTGCCCTTTTCTGGTAAATGAGAGAGACAATGGAGGAAGTACGCCTCTTCATTTAGCTGCCAGTAACAAGCAAACGTTGGTACTCCTTATGCTGTTTGGTTTAAAAAATGTCTCAACGTGGTCATTTGCACAAAACCATCTCGTACTTAGCTGAGGGTAGTGTCCCTCGATCACTCAAGTTTTAACACATACCATCAATTGAGTTACTTTGTTTTGGAGGGGGGTGGGAAGGATCAGTTTTTGCATGATTTTTCCACTGTACTAGACTTTAAAGGGTATTTGTGACCTTGCCTAAATTCGTATCTTTCTTGCGCCCTAGTGCTGACTTGTGACGATGGCCGCTTGGACCAATCATTTAATTTGGTTATATCAACTAAGTTGAAATTGTAAATTGGCCACCGTAAAGAATTAACAAACTGACGTTTCGAGCGCTAGCTAGCCCTTCGCTTTGACGAGGGGCTAAAGCTCTAAATGTCAGTTTTTTTTTTAACTCTTTACGGTGGCCAATTTACAATTTGAACTTAGTCCATATAACCAAATTACCATGTTACCCCCACCGACGCAGCACTGCAGTCTCTTTAGAAACTTTCCCCCTGCGATCAGATTTAGTTACATTTTTTTTATTAGATGGCTACTTTGTAAATGCTTTCTACTTTTTCGGTTAAAGCTTTTGCTGTGACCAACGCTTTGTCCCAAACCTTTAATATACACTCAATGTATATGTGCTGCATTCTCAAAATCGTGTTTTTGACTAATATTTTTTTTCTTCACTTTTTTTTTTCTTTCAGCGAGGCATGTGAACTGTTAGTCCTAAAGGGAGCTGAAGTGACTTCCATTGATACACACGGCCGTACGGCTCTTCATTTGGCTGTCAAGGCTGGTTCTTTGAAAACAGTCAAAATTGTACTTAATTACCTTTTGGTGAGCACACTGGAGGCGAGAGATGAAGATGGGAACACTCCTCTTCACTTAGCCTGCAGATATAATCGCCTTGATATTCTTAACTTCTTTTTGGACAAAGGAGCTGATGTCACAGCTTTAAATAACAGAAAAATGACTTGCCTTGATACTGCTATTGAGTGGGAAGCCAAAGATGTTGCCACGACACTCATGAGACACGAAAGGTACGTTTTTAGATCTTGAAATCAGCTGGGGAGACAAAGAGTTGATATTTCTGTTCTATGTCGGAGTTTACAAAGGTTGAGTCGAAGGAAAATTGTCTTCAGCTATCCAAATGATTATACGGGACAAGAGAGAATTCTATTATCTACACTGAGATTTACACAATCAAAGGACGCGAAATAAATCTCCAGTCACTAGTTGGTCAAAGAAGCTGAGAGCCAATCAAATGGCACGTATCGCTTTTTTCGCGTGTGAGGAAAATGAGAAGTCCAATCAGGAGCTGTATCATGTTTTTTCATGTGTGTACCGTATCAAGGCGGTTTCCATTTCATCTTCACAGGTAGAATTTCCTTTTTCAAACTGGAGAAGTAAGGAAATTCGTCAGAGGACTGTGTGGAAAAGAAAGCACTGGCAGAACAAAACTAAGAAGAGAAAACAATGAGAAATAAAAGCAACGAGATTTGTAAAAATAGGGAAATTACGCATGTATATTGCAGAATTCTTTCGACTCTGTGTGACAAAAAGACAGAGAAGATTATGAGTCTTCACGTCGAAGAATAATATAACTCCACTAACAACAAGTGACCGTCAAACGCCTTTGCTCTTCCCCATTTAAATTAGTTGTTGAACACTGAAATTGCATGATAAACTAATAACTTTTGAATGATTATTACTTAATAGGTGGCAAGAGGTGCTTCAGTGCTCACCAGTTGTTAGTGTTCATCCGATGGGAAAACTAATCGAAAAACTTCCAGATGTGGCAGAAGTTATTCTCGATAAATGCATCACCTACAGTCCACACCCTCCGTCTCACGAAGACTTTTCTGTCACATTTAACGTGGTTCAGTTAGATCCTGGGCCTGATTGTCACAGTTACTTCGGTCCAGCTTCCATGGCAAAACATCGAAGAGAAAAATTGCTCAATCACAGTGTCACTCAAGCGTTGTTGAGATGGAAGTGGCTAATTTTGGGGAAGTTTGTCTCCTTGATTAACGCTGTTGTAATGGCCGCTTATGTCATCCTTCTCTCGTGTCTCTTTGTCATAGAGAGGGACAAAATCAATTTTTTATTCACCTCCTCTGAAAAAACAACTAGCGAAGGTGTCAAAATCAAATCGTCGTTTGAGTTGACAGTTCCTTATGTTATACTAGCATTTTTGATCGTGCAGCTCATCAAGGAAGTTATTCAAATGATTTGGCAGCGGTTCTCCTACTTCAGGGATATCACAAACTTGTTAGAGTTGGTAATGTACGTATTGGTGTGGATTTTCATACTTCCTCACATGACTGAGAGAAATATATACAACACAAAGACTCAATGGATAGCTGGTATACTTGGGCTTCTCCTGAGCTACATAAATTTTACATTATCTCTTCGTCGCTTTGGTGGACTTGGTTTGTATGTCACAATGTACGTGGAGGTTCTGCGCACATTTCTGAGAGTGATGTCCACTTTCATGATTGCCCTAACTGGATTCACCTTGGTATTTTATGCCTTGCTAAAAGAACAGGTTAGAACGATCTCGTGAATATTTCTGATCCTTTCGTATTTATTACTAAAAAAACTAATGATGATTGGAAAAAAATTTGTTTAGGACAGTATTTCATAGAGTGGAGCTGACAAAAAAAAAAACGGTTTGCAGTCAATTCGCCACCACAACCAACTCGCCACCACAAAAATCCATTGGTACAAAATAGCGTAATTGTTCACATACAGTATAACGCCTCATGCTCAATAAGAATTTTTCAAAAAAGGCACTGCTTCTTTTGGTTGTTACAGGTGCCCTTTGCTTCAGTTTTCACCCTCTAAAAAATGGAGAGTACTTCTCGTGACTGGAATTACACGGTTTAATGGTTTGGTTTTATTTTTCTCTTAGGGTAATTTCTCAACTTTCTGGTACGCTTTTGCAAAGATCTACGTCACATTGGCTGGTGAATTAGACTACTCAAATATGTTGGTTGACAACATTGTGAACAACAACACAGTGCCTGGAACAAATATTCCATATGTTCCTCTGCCAATACTCACTACCTGCCTGTTCTTAGCATTCGTATTGTTGGGTAGTGTTGTGCTCGTCAACTTGCTGGTATGAAAAAGATCAATTCTCTATTCCATTATAATACAGACCACCACTTGCGTGACATACGTTCAAAAAACCATCTTTAGCTATAAGGCGAGTCGAGAGGGATATCTTTAGCCCGTAGTAACACGTGGTGTGTAGTCTAAATTGAGAATTGTCAGGTGTTCTCTTCTTAGGAAAATATTTTTTTGGTGCCTTTGCTATTACATTCTAGAATTCGATGTTTCCATAGTTTCACTATATTAAGCGCTTTACAACTAATTATATAATTAGCAGATATGAGAGCTTAATAATTAAATATGTAATCAGCAGTTACATATTTATATAGTTACACAGTTATATAGAATTATACATATGTAAATATTATTATATATACGTGAGTGTCATTATATAGGTATATATACCTCTATATCCCGTAAAACAGGAGTGCGATGTCAGCTCCCAAGGTTAAGGAAATACAAGCAAATCAGAATATAAGGGTTAAAGGTTTTGGCATTAGTAGTGGAAATAATAAGGGAATTTGCAGTTGAAGTAGCAGTTGGAGTTAGAAAACGTTGTAACAGCAAAGAAATGGTACATTTAAGAAGAAGCTTTTGTGACCCAAAACTCCAGTAATCCTTCACGGTACCCAGAGTTTGAGCGAGTTTGCTCAAGCTATCTTCCCCTAACGTTCCAACGAGTGTTATGGAGGACCTGGGCACTGGACATGACTATTGCATCAGCCTGTTGCTGTGATTGTTATCCAAAATTTAACGGTAGTTGTATTCCAAAACTATAGGTTGGTTTGGCGGTTGGAGATATCGAGTCTATTCAGAGGACAGCAAGTTTACGAGCTTTGATAGACCAAGTGCTATTAGTTGACGACATCATGAAATCCTATCCAAGTTTCATTCTTCGAAAGATCTACAGGAGCTCGTTGAAAATAAAACCAAACGAAAACAGTTTCATGAAGTGGTAAGTATTGTCTTTCGGCAGTTAACTTTGTATTCCTTTCTTTTTTTCTATTTGCAGGTCAGTGGCCACTTCTTTTGATTCATACATGATCCTCTTTTTATATTCCACTGAAAAGTTTATCAATGTGAATCATCTGCGTTCTAAATGAGTCTTCATACGTGGTCACGCCCATGGGACATAATTAATTCAAAGTCGCGAGATGGAAACGGAGGTTGTAAATGTACTGATTTTTGCTTCCGCAAAAAATGATGCATTGTCGATCAAATTCCAGGAAAAGGAATTTGTTGAGTGACCTTTACCTGGCCAGTAATTATAAAGGTTTACCAAGCTCAGTTGATAGCAAAGAGAGACTAAGAAGTTAGTTTTTATTTTTTACACAGCAGCTGTGTTTTATTAATCAACTCGAACCCCCTCTTACATTTTAGGGTCACTCTATCTGCTACTGATATAACAGGAAGTGATTTTGTGGACATGCTGCTAAACGGCGCATCTAGTGGGATCTCTAGTGATGGCTGCCAACAGCTACAGTTGCGAGAGGAAAGGCAAGAGGAAATGATGCAAAAACTTCAGGCCACTGTGGAAGCACAAGGAAAATTTCTTAAGGCAATGGCTGACAGATTGAAAATCACAGACTATGAATAAAAGGCTAGTTGATCACAAAAAATTTAAATATGATAAAATGAAGTAATCGCTCTGATAAAGGATCGACTCAACGTCGTCAGTACTTGATTTTAAATGTACGCAGTTTGTTCGACAAGTTTATTTAGTTTCAAAGACGTTCAAGCAATTTCAACACATTATTGTTATTTTAAAAGCGACCATATGACAAAAGAAATTAGTCCAACACCATCTTCTTTGGTATTTTGAATGTTCCATTTTTATTTCTGTTATCACTGTGCATTTTGTAGAGAGTGTAGAAAAATAAAGAATGCTGAAACTGCTAGGGTTGCTTGCTTAGTTAGTAATCAGTTTTTTTTTTTGCTTTTATTTCTCTTTGAATGTTGTCATATCGAGAGTGTACTATGAGAATTCAGCGCGTACTTATAAACACCATCTCGTGATATCGAGTCCTCATGTAGACATAATGTACTACAATTGACATTACAGTTCGTAAAATATTTTGACCACTAACAAGATATATATTGTTCTTAAAATGTCAACTGACAGAAAATGCCTTGGCCATAACTGGGAAAATTCCGAACTAATTTTCTCTCAAAACCCTGAGAGCACTGCCATGACTGTTTAGTCTTCGTCTCGTTCAAGATGTGAGATCGTTTTACCGGCGTTGCAGAGCAAGACGTCAACAAGCCATATCAGAAAACGTTGAAAAGTCAGTTGTATTATTGTGAGGTCGGTAAGGTATTCGCAAACCTTTTGCAATATGGAATATCGAGAGATAGATAAATGAATGAGTTAATGATTAAATGAGTGACTAAGTAGAATAAACTAGTACACACTAGTATTACTAGGAGGAATACTTCAGTCTATTGAGAATAAAGGGCGTGGAAAAAAATCACTGTTGTATCGTATAACTGTGTCTGTCCCTTGCCTTTACGTCACTGTGTGGTCGTGGAGGAGTGACCATTCATGCCAGAAAAATCCTTACTTCATTTTAAATTTTCATCTTCTGACATCTACCGATGCATATGTCACGAAACTGATAAACAGTAACGTCACTTTCATAAAGAAGAGTGTTTTGGTTATGGCGTAGGTCTCACGGTTACTCTGTGTCGGTTTTACTCTCGTCATTAGCAACTTTATGTCGACTTGTCGCTCCTTTGGCGCCCAGGATAGAACTGGTTTGTATGCTTTTGATATTTTAACAGGAAACTCGTTAAAAACGTGATCAGAACGGATGAAATGAATAGTGACTCACGACGACATTTCAATTTACCGCTGTGCTTGATTGTCGGTCGTTGTGAACTTACAAGATAACAGCATGACCGTATCAAGCGTCTCGCCCATAAAATGTTTCAGTTTCTTTCCAAAATTTACCATTCTAAGAGTAATTAGGAACCAACAAGGTTTTTGTTGCGCGTTGCTCGTTTTGCACCATGCCACGATTTAAATTACTAAATATGTAATTTCACTCTTGCGTCATGGTCCGGCTGATGTTGTCATTTTTAACAACAAGACGTTGTCACAACAACACTGGTGATACAATACAATACAATACAATACAATACAATACTTTATTCAAGAGAAAGGAAAATAAAAATTGTAACAAAAAAGTATCTCTCGAAAGGGGATATTCTAGAGGTTAACCCTATATAAAAGATTCCCCAAATAAAAAGATCAAAACATTATATACAGATAACTAAAAACTGTTTACCATCATCTCAATCAATATTCATGTAAATCTTTAGTCTGTTACGAAATAAAGTCAATGATCCTGCGTGTACAATATCTTTAGGCAGATTATTCCACATATTAACGATCCGTACAAAAAAAGAAAATTTGTAGCAATTTACGATAGCTATTTTTACGTAGAGCTTATAATCGTGATTGGCTCTAGTTCGATTACATTTAGTAAGTTCTAAAAAGTCCGAAAAATGAAGACTATCTATTTCCAGAACTATCTTGTAGCACTGGATCAGAGATAAAAACTCTCTTCGTTTCTCCAAAGTTTGCCAATTCAGTAGGCGGCAGCGGTCTTCATAGCTCATTTCTCCGCGTTTTTGCTTTAATGCCAACCGAGATGCCCTTCTTTGGACTTTTTCCAAGGATTCGATATCCTTTTTTTGGTAGGGGCTCCAGACGGGGACAGCGTATTCGAGTATAGGTCTTACTAACGACTTAAAGAGGCAGGAAAACGCATAGCGATTATCGTTTCCAAGTGATCGCCTAATTATACCCAACACTTTGTTCGCCTTGTTTACTATGTAGGAAACGTGTTTACCCCAAGATAGATCGTAGTTTATTGTGACCCCTAGGTCCTTGGCGCTGTCGACAGATTTTAGTTGCGTACCAAGGGAATAACTAGGCTTGGATCTGTCTCTACTGTGCGTTACACGCATAACTTCACATTTTTCAGGATTAAAGCGCAACTGCCACTTGTTAGCCCAATCGCTTAATTTGTTCAAGTCCAGCTGTAAGGCTGGTATATCCTTATCAGGCTCCATGATCTTGCGATAGATTTTAGTATCATCAGCGTAGATTTTCACGGTTGATGCAATGTTTGCCGAAATATCATTTATATAAATAATGAATAGGATTGGGCCGAGTACTGTTCCTTGAGGCACACCTGAAATCACGGGTGACCAGTCTGAACAATTGCCCCTTAACACTACACGCTGCCTTCTATTCGTCAAAAAATTTCTAATCCACAGTAGTAGAGAGCCGTCTATCCCATACCGTTGTAGTTTCAGCAGCAAGCGCTCGTGTGGCACGCTGTCGAAAGCCTTGGAGAGATCTAAGAAGATGATATCCGTTTGTTGCGAGCAATTCCTAGCCTTTGCCCAGTCATTGTAACATGTAAGTAATTGTGCCAACGTCGATTTACCCCTTAGATACGCAAATTGGTCTGGATTAAAAAGATTGAGGTCTGACCAAAAGTCGACCACACGGGACTTTACCACAGCTTCTGCAATCTTGCAAACAATACAAGTCAGTGATATTTGGCGGTAGTTCTCCATGAGATTTTTGCTCCCTTTCTTATGGACTGGAGTGATGTGGGCCGACTTCCATATACTTGGTAGTTGACCTTGAGAGATGTGATCCTTCAAGTTCTGTATTATTTAACTCTATCCAATAAAAAGGCCTAAATTAAACGACTCGAGGCGATTTGAATTTGACTGTAACAACGCAAGTTTTTTACAAGAAACGAGGAAATATTGTACTCCAAACAAAACTACTCACAGAAAAATTACTCTATTGATAATTTGTGACCGTTTCTGGGTATGTTTTATTGCTTTTGATGAGTATAAGAAATACTAAGTGTTCGTTGCAGTTCTCCTCATCGTCCGCCATCTTTAATTTTTTGGGTGAATTCAAAATTAGGGGAGAAGCTAATGCCATTTTATAGCGCGCCTTCGTGTTTAAAGAGTCTTTGTCAAGAGACTTACCAGGGTATCGATGTTGCGTATCATTAGTCGGCGGCATGGCCGCATTGACGACGCGCTTAAATGAGGTTCGAAAACTAAAAACTAGAGGTTTGTTTTACGTGATTTACTTTTACTTGATGGGTATGTAGATCTTGTGGATTTTCATGACAATTAGCCGGAATTTTGCTATCGTCCAAATTGAAAATAGATTTTCTCAGGCATCAATAGCAATACCGAAAAAGCCTAAAACACTTCGTTAGCCCATTATCTGCTGACTGATACTGTCCAGTTTGTTTCGAGGTCAGCGGTACCGCAGAGGCTGAGATTCAGTTAAGCAAACACCGTCAGTGTTGTGTTTAAAGGCTCGTGCGTGCCTACCAAGTTAAAAGCTGAGAGATTTGTTTTTAATTTTCATTCATAATCTATACTTTATAAGCTTTACAGCGATATATAGTTTTCCTTGGTTTCTTTAAAAGTTGTGCGCGTAAGACGATTCTTCTGGAGGGCATCTAGTAACCTTAAATAAAGATATGTTCCTTCCTAAAGTTTAATATTCACGTATCGGTAATTTTGCTTTCTTTCAATTTTTAGATTTTGGAAATTCTTCTACTAGAGAAAGAGAAAGGAACTTTATGCCAACGTGACGCAAAAGACTGGCTTGCCCTTCACATCGCGGCTGAAAAAGGCTCAATCCACTGTGTCGAGGCTTTCTCCAGGTTCCCTAGATTTTCATTTCACACCCAACAGGCAGCTGAGAAAAGAGGGACACCTCTTCATTTAGCAGCTAGCAACAAACATGCCTGGGTATTGCGATCTTAAATAAAGTAAAATAGAATAAACTCCCCTCTAGAGCTGATTCCTGAAGTGGTCTTTCTTGAATTTTTTTTTTTATCATTTTCCATTTTTCATTTTTATCATTTTCCCTATTCCATTTTCCATTTTCCATTTTTCCATTTTTCATCCAGAAATCACTAATCCCGTTTTGCGAATTTTGCTCTCTGGGCCATCTATAACGTTTGACGCTAAAAAATTACGGTTCAGAGGAAGACTTAAGTGGCATCCGATAAAACCAAGAGAAGACTCAGAGTTATCAGATTATTTCCCTAGCCGCCGTACTCAATTTGAAATTGCTGACTGAAACCTTTCCTCCCCATAACAATTGTATCATAACAAATAGAGCTTAATTTAAGAGCGATGAATTCGTTCGACGTAATTGATTTGGTGAAACACGACCAAGCCTGTACACATGAGGTGGAGAAAGGTCAGAGCCGAGTTGTTCAAAGGCCGACTAGCGCTAACTCAGAGTTAAATTTTAATTCAGGTTTCTCTATTTCTCTGTTAAAAAGCCGTTTGGGATAATTTTCGCAATTCTCATTAGAGCATTCAATCATTAAATTGTGGACAAATGGAATCAAACTGAATTTTCTTTTAAAGCTCTCAGATCTGAAATAAAATTTCACAATAACTCTGGATTATCTTAATCCACCTTTGAACAAGCCCGCCCAGAAGAATTCCAATTCCAAATTAAATATTCAAGTAAAGGGTTAAAATGGGATACCAAATGGTTACATTGTTGTACACATATTTTGGTTTTGCTTTCTACATTTGGTTGTTTCTTTGCAATTCTAGGGAAACATGCAGAGTCTTACTGAAAAATGGCGCCGAAGTTTTTCGAATGGATTTGAGAGGTTTCACTGCGCTTCATCATGCAATCGAAGCTGGATCATTGCAGACCGTTCAAGTTTTGCTGGACTGTCGTTTGCCAAGTACTTTAGAACGAGTAGATTTGAACAACAACACACCACTTCACAAAGCCTGTGGTGTATGGACTTGTCCAAGGCCTTTGACACCTTACCTCATGAACTGATTGTTTTGAAATTAAAAGAATATGGAGCAGATGAAGCAACAACCACCCTGATAAAAGATTATTTATCAAATCGATTCCAAAAAGCGAGACTAGGGGATACGCTTTCCAATTGGCAACCTATATGCAATGGTGTACCACAGAGATCCATCCTCGACCCTTTACTTTTCAACATCTTCATGAACGATCTTTCATGTGTCATCGAGAAGTGCACTCTGTCCACTTACGCTGGTCAAATCTTTTACGCCGACAATCAACTCTCTAAAATTGAAGAAACAATCAACAATGATCTTATTAGTGCTGATATATGGCTCGCGTGTAATGGTACGAAGAGGAACAGTTCAAAATACCAGGCATGGTGTTGGGAAAACACAAAGGAACTGATGAACCAGTGTTTAAGTGTGAGGAGTCACAACTTCCCATATCCAACACAATGGAACTTCTTGGCGTGACAATCGATGATAAATTAAATTTTGAAATGCACATTGCTAAAATATGTAGAAAAGTCAGTCAACAGGTGGCTGTGTTAAAAAGGATGCAGAAAATGTTATTTTTTGAGACTAGAAGGGATCTTTACAAAGCCTTCATTT